CTCCCCGTCCCTCTGTCGCTCCCCGTCCCTCCGTGGCTCCCAGTCCCTCAGTCGCTCCCCATCCCTCAGTGGCTCCCCGTCCCTCTGTCGCTCCCAGTCCCTCAGTCGCTCCCCGTCCCTCAGTCGCTCCCCGCCCCTCAGTCGCTCCCAGTCCCTCAGTTGCTCCCCGTCCCTCAGTCGCTCCCAGTCCCTCAGTTGCTCCCCGTCCCTCCATCGTTCCCCGTCCCTCAGTCGCTCCCGGTCCCTCCGTCGCTCCCTGCACACACAGCCCTGAGAAGCGGCCCAGAAAGGACAGCCAGGCTTTGTGTTCTTGGTCTTTCCGCAGAGGCTGACCTCTGTGGTGTCCCCCACCAAGGAAGCAGCTGTTCAAGGGCACTGGAGGGAGCAAAGGCTGAGGTCTCCTGTGAGACTCTCATCCCAGCTCTGCGGCAGCCCGGCTCTGGGGCCTTGAGAAAGCCCCGCTGCCCTCTCTGAGTCTCAGTTTCCCCATCTGTGCACCGGGAGCCGTACTGTGGGTGGGGCCGGGGACTCCTCTGGATGGTTTCTCTTCTCATGGGGCCCAGGGGTCTCAGGTCCCCTTCGGTCTCCCAGAGCGTCCCCTCCCCGGCCGCTGCTCTGTGGAGAGTTAAAGGGGCCGTGGTAAGGAATCCCGCACCCAGCCCAAGCCCCGCCTGGCCACCTGACACCTCAGCCTTCAAATATTCATGTGACGCCTCCCACTCCTGGGGGCGGCAGCCTCAGCAGCCCCCGGCGTCCCAGGACAGCTGTACTCCCTGAGCTCTGCAGTTCGCGTCTGAGGTCCTCCGGGGCTGGGGCTGGGCGGTCACTCCCCAGCCCACCGTGCACCGGAGTTCCTGGGCTGTGGGCACAGATTCCTGGAAGGAGTGAGGTGCGTGGGGGCTGGGAAGATGGGCTTTCAGACTGTGTTCCCTCCCCCGTGGCCCAGTGGGGTGAGGGTCCTGGAGGGGAGGTGGCTGAGGGGCCACCCAGCATCCTTGCCGGGAGGCAGCTTGTGCCACCTTGTCCATGAGCAAGGGAGGCTTGGGGAGGCCAAAGTTTTGCTCACGTAGGACCGGCTTCACTGCAGTCCGGCCCCAGTGCAGTGTGAAAAGGGGCCCCTGCGTTCAGAAAGGAGAAGGAATTCGAAGGCAGAGACAGCCGTGCATTCGAGCAAGCTGCAGCAAGGGTCCCTCCCACTCTCCCAACAGGCCAATGTGAATTCTCTGCTCTGCCCAGGGCTCTCGCTAGCACTGACCCTGGAGCCCTGATAGCCACGTCTGGTTTCCAGTGCCCACGGGAGGGCAGGGACAAGAGCTTTGGTCTGACAGGCACGGTGGGGGAGGTGCCCAGAGGGTCGGTGGCATGTGGCCCTGCTGGCTAGGGAGAAGGGCTGCCCATGCCCTTGGCTGGTGGGCACATTAGGGACCCCCATCCTACTCCACTGCCCTCCCCTCTCCTCACCAGGTTTCTCACGGGGCCTCCACCCCCAAGACACTGACCCGTGTCAGCCCCAAGTCAGGGCTGAAGTTCCAGGTGGACTACAGCACAGGAGTCAGGGCAGTCGGGGAGGCGGGTGTGCGGAAGAGTGTACATGCATGTGTGCAGGAGAGTACATGCGTGTGTGCAGGAGAGTACATGCATATGTGTGCATACGTGTGCACATGTTTTTGTGAGACCACAGGGCGCTGAGCACAGCTGAAAACCAGGCTCTAACCCAGTGCCCAGAACCCCAGAGCTCAGCTGCCTCCAGAGGGAGCCTGGAAGCTGAGTTTTGAGATGGGGGTGGCCCACTCAATAGAGGTGGCAGCAGGTGGGGAACCAAGGTGGGGTGCTGGGAAGTGATGGCACTCAGGCAAGAGATGACCTTGCGACAGAACCCTGATCAAGGACCTGCCCCTCTTTCTTACCACCTCCTTACCTGTCCCAGCCCTTCTCAGATACACAGGCTCGCCCACTGGGTGCTCCCACCCCGTCTAGGTGAGTAGGGAAGAGCCCACAGGGGCCCTCCACTGACCAGGTCCATCCACCCACAGGTGCCCCTGCTGATGACGCCCCCACCACCGCCGTTCCCCCCACCTCCACTGTTGGCCACGAGGCCCTCCCTGGAGGATGGAAGAAGAGGAGGCCCAGGGCCCGGGAACCCCACCTGTGAGTGCACAGCCCCACGTGGGCCGGCTGGGGCATGGGCCTGGGAGTGGGTGCCACTGGCCTTCCCTCCAAGGTCCTGGACCGGTGGGGAAGTCTGCGGGCAGCCGGGCACCCCATCACCCTCCCTCCCCAGTTGCTTCCGGGTGTCCTTGGCTGCCTTTGTTGCTTTGGAAAGCAGAGGATTAGCATTTTGCATGGTGAGCACTTACAGTCACAGCAACTTGTCCAGGGGTGAACGCGGGGAGACGGGCCGGTTGGGCCCAGGCCCCTTGTGGATGGGCTGCTGTCCCTGAGACCCCAGCACACCTTGCATGCGTGGGCTAGCAGGGCAGGGGACGGTCCTCACACTGTGGGCCACCACCATTAGGGGTCTGTGAGCAGCACTGATTGGAATGGCATGGAATGGCATGGCATGGCAAGAAAACATCAGCAGGTGCCACAGGTAGTGAGGGCAAGCTTCCTCCACAGGACCCGCTGTGGCCCTGTACTCACATGTGGGAGTGTGCGTCTGTGTGTGGTTGTGTCTGTGTGTTCTGTGTGTGATACACATAGATACGGGGACCCTTCTCTTTGTGTGACTGTGTCTGTAGCTGTGTATGATTGTGTCCATGTGATTGTGTTTGTATCTGTGTGTGATTGTGTCTATGTGTGTGTCTCTCTGTGATTGTGTCTGTATGTATCTGTGTGATTGTGTGTTCTGTGTCTGTATGTATCTGTGTGATTGTGTTTGTGTTCCTGTGCATGATTATGTCTGTGTATCTGTGTGTGATTGTGTGTCTGTATGTTTGTGTTTGTGTGTTTGTGATTGTGTCTGTGTGTGACTCTGTGTGTGTGTGTGATTGTATCTCTGTATGATTGTGCCTGTGTATGTGTGTGATTGTGTCTTTCTGATTGTGTCAGTGTGTGATTGTCAGTGTGTGATTGTGTGTATCTGTGTGATTGTGTGTGTGTGAGTCTGTTCTGTGTCCGTTTCTGTGTGTGGTTGTGTCTGTGCATCTGTGTGTGATTGTACCTGTTTCTGTGGGTGATTCTGTTCGTGTGTGTCTCTGTGTGATTGTGTCTGTGTCTGTGTGCTTGTGGGTGTCTGTTCTGTGTCTGTTTCTGTGTGATGGGTCTGTGATTGTACTGTGTGTGATTGTATGTGATTGTGTATGCTTGTGTCTGTGTGTGTGTATGACTGTATCTGTGTATCTGTGTGTGATTGTGTCTGTGTGATTGTGTTTGTGTGTCTGTTCTGTGTCCGTGTGTTTCTGTGATTGTGTGTGATTGTGTGTCTGTGTGTGATTGTATCTGTATGTGATTGTGTGATTGTGTCCGTGTGTGTCTGTGTCTGTGGTTGTGTGTGTGATTGTGTCTGTGTGTGATTGTGTCTGTGTGTGATTGTGTGTGTGTGATTGTGATTGTGTCTATGTCTGTGTATGATTGTGTCTGTGTGATTGTGTCTGTGTGTGATTGTGTGTCTGTGTGTGATTGTGATTGTGTCTATGTGTATGATTGTGTCTGTGTGATTGTGTCTGTGTGTGATTGTGTTTGTGTGTCTGTGTTCTGTGTATGTTTCTGTGATTGTCTTGTGTGTGTGTCAGTGGGTGATTGTGTCTGTGTGTGTGTCTGTGTGTGATTGTGTATGTGATTGTGCTTGTGTGTGTGTCTGTGTGATTGTGTGTGATTGTGTCTGTGTATGTCTCTGTGTGTCTGCCTGGCTGTGATGCAGACGTGTTCTTCTTTCAAGGTTGACACTGAAGTGTGTGTTTGCATTGGGGCAAGCAGCATTGTGGGCAGCGAGGGGACCAGCTTTGGGGCCTGCAGAGCTATGTTAGCGGCCTGTGACCTCCAGGCCTCAAGCCCTTCCCAGCTCCTCCCCTGCTGCAGGAGAGGCTGCGGCGTGGCCCAGGGGTGTGCTTCGGTCTCCAGTGGACCAGGCCGACTCCCCAGAGAAGGTCCAGTGGGGCCCTGAGGTGTTCTGGGGCAGGGCAGGCTGGGGTTGGCTCCCAGCTCGGAGCTCGTTCAGGAGGCCGGCTCTGCCCCAAGGCCTAGACCCCCGAGGCTCTGCGTCTCTGCTCCCCAGCCCTTACCCTTTCTGCAACACCCTCTTCTTCTCGGCAGCCACATCCCTCAGCCCGGCCTGGCCTGGCCATCCTGACCAGCCTCTTCCCAGGGAGCAGATGACCGGCCCGGCCCCTCCGAGGATCACCACCAGTGCCATGGCTGACCCTGCGGTGCGTCACCCACCCGTGCATTCCTGTCTCCCGGGGCCCCCAGCCAGCCTCCATCCCCATCCTCTTAGGGGCCCAGGGAAGCCCCCAGCACAGCCAGGCCTTTCCTGAAGGGTGGATGCCAGGCTGCCTGCATCACTCCGCTGCTTGCTCTCAAGAACACCTTGAGTTCTGAGGAGACGGGAGTGTCAGGGCAACGGCAGCTGTCCCCCCACCACAGAAACACGGGGACCCTTCTCTGTCATCCCAGAGGGCTGCAGTGGCCCAAGCCCCTCTGCCCGACCTCTGAGCTCAGCGGTGCTCCGTGCCTGCTTGCAGTGCGGAGATCGCAGCAGCCAGCCATGGGCAGGGCCCCGCTGCCCCTGTCCTCCTCCTCAAGGCCTCCGCCAGCCCAGACCAGCAGAAGGGTCCTGCTCCCCCTTACCCTCCCTTTCCTGGGCGCCAGGCCCATAGAAAGCCAGCCCAGCCTTTCCCTGAGTGGTGCTGCAGATTCTCAACCACTGAGATGTTCGGTGGGAGTGGGAAATGCCACGTGGCGCTGCCCGTCCTGGAGAGCTGGAGTGTGCACAGTACACTGAAGCCTCTGACGAGCCCTGCGGCACAGGATTGGCTGCCAGGCTTTGTCTATGTAGCTGTGCCCAGAGCAAGTTTGCCCAGGGACATGGTGTGCTCCGCGAGCATCAGCTGGGCTTGTATAGGGGACTGGGAGGGACCTCTGGTTTCATTTCTCTGCTAACAATCCCCTCCCACACATCTTACCCCGGCCCCACTCCCATCCCTCCCCTCCGAGGCCTCACTCTTAAGCTGGGGATGAGAAGGTGGGGTGCTGTCCGTGACCCCAACTGTCCCTTCTCTCAGGGCGCCCTGTTAGGGTGTCCTGGGCGGAGCCAACCCCCCATGTCCTCTCGGATCTTCCCTCCACTTAGGGCCTGGGTCCCCTTCAGGCCTGTGTGACCCACCCCCTTCTGCACAGGGGACAGAGACTGCGCTGGCGGGGGACGCCTCAGATAGCCTGGTGGCACTGCAGCTGGATGGGCCGCCCTCAGGCGACATCGATGGGTTGGTGCCCACGCGGGATGAGCGCGGCCGGCCCATCCCCGAGTGGAAGCGGCAGGTGATGGTGCGGAAACTGCAGGCGCGCCTGGGCGCAGAGAGCTCCGCAGAGGCCCAGGTAGGCCCGGGGAGGTCCAGGTAGGCCCCAGGGAGGGGCGGGGCCTTTTCCGGGTAGGTGGAAGTGGAAGTCAGAGCACCCGAAGCCCAGAACTAAATCCAAGACCCAGGGGCCCCTCTCCTCTGTGGCCTCAGCTGCTGCTTCCGCCAGAGGATGAAGTGAACCAGACCAGAGGACTCTGAGCAGAGCCCGTTCGCCTGCTCTGGAGGCATGGGTCCCACGTATCCTTCCACTTGGATTTGTGGCACACGCCTGCCTGTGCCAAGCGTTGTTCTAGGCAGTGAAGGGCAAGCCCTGCCCTCCTGGGCGCAGCGTCTAGCAGGGAAGATGGTGGCCCATGGGCAGGCGCCAGCAGGTGTGGGGGTGCGATTCCCACTGCTATGGAGAAAGCAAAGTGGTTGGGGGACTATGATAGATGGGTGCTTACGGGGCCCCCTCTGGGGACGTGGCCTTGAGCAGGAGCCAGAGGGAAGAGAGGTGGAGCCCTGTGGGAATCTGGGGCAGGCACCTCCTAGGCAGAGGGAGCAGCCAGTGCAAGGGTCCTGAGGCCCGGCCGGCCTGGGGAGAAGCAAGAGGCGGCGCTCTGGTGTGGAATGGGCGCCTGAGGTTGCAGAGGAACCTAGCTGGGATTATTGCACCTCTGTGAGGCCGTGGGGAGCCACTGAGAATCTGAGCAGAGAAGGGCTGTGATGTGCCTTGGATTTGAACAGGCTCCCCCGGCTGCCGTGCAGACAGGAGTTCAGGAATTGTACCCTCAGAGGCCTACGATTTTGTCAGGACGATTGCGTCCCGCATCCCCAGTCTAGCGCTGTGCTGTCCGGCACAATCACGCCAGTCACGTGCAGCCATTGAAATTCACTACAATTTAAGGGAAGTAAAAGTCCTGCCCCTCCATCGCACCAGCCGCCTGCCGTTTCTGTAGCCACAAGTGGCTCCTGGCTGCTGAAATACAGCCCATCTCCATCATCTCAGGACTGTGGGACAGCCCTCTCTGAGGGCCCAGCCTGTCCTTGCCTATTGGGCTGGGAGCCATAGGGGCTGAAAGCCACAGGGTTGAGAGCAGAGCAAGACTGGGGCAGAGCAGGTCAGGGGCTTCTGCCCTAGCTGGGAAGCCCTTTAAAGTCTTACCGTGGGGCAGGACCAGGGGCTCTGCAGAGATGCTGAGAACTCAGGGGTTTGGAAGCTAGGTGGGCTGATGGCAGGTGGGCGGGCTCACCCTGCTCCCTCTGCCCTTCCTGTGCCCAGGACAATGGTGGGAGCTCAGGCCCCACAGAGCAGGCGGCCTGGAGGTACTCACAGACCCACCAGGCCATCCTGGGGCCCTTTGGGGAGCTACTGACGGAGGACGACCTGGTCTACCTAGAGAAGCAGATTACAGACCTGCAGCTTCGGCGCCGCTGTCAGGAGTATGAGAGTGAGCTGGGCCGGTTGGCGGCTGAGCTGCAGGCCCTGCTGCCCGAGCCCCTGGTCAGCATCACGGTCAACAGCCACTTCCTGCCCAGGGCGCCCGGACTGGAGGCTGAGGAGGCCTCAACCCCAGCGGCTGAGCCCACAAGCTCTGCGGAGGCCTCGGAGGTGGCCCCCGGGGGGCAGCCCCTGCCCTTCTGGTGCAGCCACATCTCCCGCCTGGTGCGCAGCCTGTCCCTGCTGCTGAAGGGTGTGCATGGGCTGGTGCAGGGGGATGAGAAGCCGGCCACCCAGCCCCTGCAGGAGACCTGCAGGGAGGCCTCAGCCAGCCCCCCTCGGAGCGAGGCCCAGCGCCAGATCCAGGAGTGGGGGGTGTCTGTGCGGATGCTGCGTGGCAACTTCGAGTCGGCCTCCGGCCCACCCTGTGGCTTCAACCCTGGCCCCTGCGAGCCAGGGACCCAGCGCAGGCAGTGCCTGGGTGGCTGCTGGCCGGCTCTGCCTAAGCCCTGCAGTGGCCTGGCTTCCGGGGAGCCCAGGCCTGGCGACACAGAGGAGGCCAGCGACTCCGGCATCAGCTGCGAGGAGGTGCCATTGGAAGTGGGCGCCACAGCCAGCCCAGACCTGGCCAGCCTGCGCAAGGAGCGCATCATCATGCTCTTCCTCAGCCACTGGAGGAGGTCGGCCTGCACGCTGGCCCTCAAGACAGCAGCCTGCAGGACCCTAGAAGCCCGCCACGCGGGGTTGCGGGGCCAGGAGGCCGCCAGGAGCCCTGGACCACCCTCCTTGCCCGGCGAGGGCCTCCGGCTGGGCCACCTGTGGCAGCAGCGCAGCACCATCACCCACCTGCTGGGCAACTGGAAAGCCATCATGGCTCATGTGCCCACCCGGCAGCTGCGGCGGCTAAGCCGGCGGCCCCGCGGGGCCCTGTCCCCCGAGCAGTTCCTGCCCCACGTGGACGGGGCTCCTGTGCCCTACAGCAGCCTCTCGCTGGATCTCTTCATGCTGGGTTACTTCCAGCTCCTGGAGTGCGACCTGCCGGCCGAGGAGCGGAAGGTGCGCCACCTGCTCTGCTTCGAGGTCTTCGAGCACCTGGGCACCCACGGCTGGGAGGCGGTGCGCGCCTTCCACAAGGCTGTGACCGACGAGGTGGCCGCCGGCCGCCGGGCCTGGACCGACGGCTTTGAGGACATCAAAGCCCGCTTCTTCGGCTCCAGCCAGGGTCCCGCCTGGGATACGGAGCCTGGCCGCAAGTCAGGCCTGACCCCGCTCGGGCCCCTGCCGCATGCCGCCGTCCCCTGCAGCGGCCCTGAGCCCACAGCACAGCGGCTGGGGTCCCGCTCCCAGCGGGGCAGCTTCAACAGCGAGGACATCTGCGGCTACATCAACCGGAGCTTTGCCTTCTGGAAGGAGAAGGAAGCTGAGATGTTCAACTTTGGAGAATGACCCAGCTGGCAGCCTGCTTTCCAGATCGTGGTTTGGGGGTAACTTGGGGTTTCTCTTTTCCTTGCTCACACCCTTGGTGGCCGGGTGAGCCGGGCAAGGCTGCCTCCAGTCCTGCGGGTTATCGGAGGCTGCGGGACTCTTCTGTTGTGGCTGCTTCTCCTCCGAGTCGGGACTCAGACTCCTTCTCACCACTGCACCCAGGAAGCCCCTGGGCAGGCCCTGAAGTTAGGCAATGGGCCACCCCAGCCCAGGGCACCTCTGCCCGGCCAGCCCCCGAGATCAGGGATGCTGCCTGTTTCCCACTTGTCCTTCCCCAGCACCACCAGTTACCTGGGCGTCCTGTCCCTCAGTTTCTCTGGTGCTGGTGGCCTCGGCCACATCCACCTTCCATGTGAGCCTGAGGTGGCCCCAGGTCCTGGTCCTGCCCCTGTTTCTCCTGCTGACCTTGGGCCACACCCCTTCACCTCCCACCTGTGAATGGTGGGGAGCTGGAGTGACTCCGAGAACAGAGTCCATGGGGAGGAGACCTTCCTGCCAGGCCGTCCTTGCTGGTCACACACCGATGCCCGCCAGGCCAGTGCCCCACCCCCAGGGTGCTCCAGAGACCCTGTTCCCTCAAAGGAAGCCTCCCCATGGGGCCCCTGTCCTCCAGCTGACGAGCCTCAGCCTAGTCATGGGCCCCAGCAAGGCCGGTGAGCAGGGACGTGGGAGTAGCAGTGGCTGAGAGAGAGTGCTCCAGACAGGGTGGCTGGCGTCCACTCTCAAAGGCTCTGAACACAGAGGAGAATGCCGGCAGGGGTGGGCAGCAGCCGGACCTTGGTGGGGCATGGCTACTCCGTGAGGGCACTTGGGTGTCACCCACAGTGCACCTCTTCATGGGGGCCTGGGTACTGGAGGGAGGGATACAGGAAGGGAGATGGATTCCATCCTCGGGGGCTCTGGGTGCTGCCGAGTATCCCTGGACATGGTGCTGGGCATGGCTGGCATAGGGTGTGGTTTGTCCCCAGCTCCTGATGGCAGCCAGGAGAATGGGTCATCACCCAGGCTCTGGGGCTGAGGAGGGCTGGGCCCAAGCCCACAGCGACTTTGGGGGTGGGGCTCTGCAGCTGTGAGATGGCCCAGCGGGGAGTGGCAGGGAGGGGAGGCTTCAGGAATATTCTTCCTGGCATCCAGGCCCCCTGGGACAGAGGAGGGTGCAGTCAGGGGACAGGCTTGTCAGGGGTCCCCGCCTTGCTCCCTGGGGATTGTCCAGGCAGAACCTGGAAGGCAGCAGGCAAGCTGTTAGATGGAACAGAGAGACCCTCGCGGCTGACTGGGGCCCAAGGGGAGGGGCGCTGAAGAAGATGTAAAATTGGCCGGGCGCGGTGGCTCACGCCTGTAATCCCAGCACTTTGGGAGACCGAGGTGGGCGGATCACGAAGTCAGGAGATTGAGACCATCCTGGCTAACACAGTGAAACCTCGTCTCTACTAAAAATACAAAAAATTAGCCGGGCGTGGGTGGCAGCACCTATAGTCCCAGCTACTCGGGAGGCTGAGGCAGGGGAATGGTGTGAACCTGGGAGGCGGAGTTGCAGTGAGCCGAGATTGTGCCACTGCACTCCAGCCCGGGCAACAGAGCAAGACCCCGACTCAAAAAATAAATAAATAAATAAATAAA